AAATTTAAAAAAACACTGTTTTTTCATTTAAGATGGCTCATATTTATTTCGGTGTCTGCATCAAAACAATCTGTTTTCAAAAAATCTTCTGCTTCCGTCGTTTTCTAATAGTCAATCCCTTAATTCGATTTTACAGCGAACGTTTAAAACAATTACTCTACTCATTTAATAAAGGGTCACTCATGAGATATCATCTATACTTCACAGTAGATACAACACATATCTCTCTACTAGACATTATATGTGATGTATACACCAATGGTATTGAGAGGCGATTAATTAGGTCAGTTTATATCTTTCTTTCTTTTTTCTTTTTAATTTTCCAGATGTGAGAACTAAAAGATAACATTGCTATTTGATATTATTTTCACGCATTGATAAACACAACACTCGTTTCCGTGATAACCTTTGCCCATTTCGCACATTCCGTCTGCTGTTGTCCACACGTAAAATGAACACCACCCACAAAAAGTAGATCATTTTTATGACAATATTTGCATTCGGTTCTTGAATTAATTTTGGGTAATATAAACCTTATTTTTGTACAGATGAAAGATGATTAACATAATGCGTGAGTCCTTGACAAGATCTGTGGCAAGGTACGAACTTTTTCAAATTTACCTATATGTGGGGATTCTGCGATAGATGATATGCGCTTGTTACGTTTTAAATTGTTGACAATGAAGTGCCAGCAATGGCTAGGACGTCGTTTTATAGAAATGTGTTACAAACAACTTTTTGGTAACCACAATAAATAAAGAGAAAATTCCATCAGAACGTAGTTGGCACATCCCTACTTATGTATCAATACTTGAAGAATGTTATGTGATATGTTTATTGTAAATTAATACAAGCATGGTCAATGTTATGTATTTCGTTGCGATTGTATAAAATAAACCAACGTTGCATATTATCGAATCATTTAACACGTAACAGGTACCATGGCGATCTCCACGTATGTACTACTATCGGTCTTTCTCGTCTTTAGCCAAGGCGCCATTGAGGCGGAAATTCGACGGAATGTCAACTTGCGAGAGGTCTTGGACTACCGACTTGAGGCACTAACCCCGGGTAACACTAAGTCAGATGTGGTGATGTCTGAGAAGATGGACATACATGATACGAGTTCTGGAGGGTTATTGCCAACACCGCGGTATATGTTGTATTTGTACAACGCTATTAAGAAGGAAGGCTTTACTAACCAACGCTATCGTATCTCGAGCTATAGAATACAGGCAGGTAAGTGATAACCGTCTCCTACCGGCCATAGTTTGACTAATTCACTAAGACCGTTACTCGCATCGCCGCGTCATCATTATTGATAAAACCACAGATTTCCATAAAAATAAAAACTTACCGTGCTTTACTAATTAATATAATAATTAATGATAATTAATCACGTTCTAGAAGCTTGAAACAGTTTGCCAGTATGCCAATGCATTGTGAATAAACACTAAATTGTCTGAAAACAAAATGTCATAGCGAAAAAAATTACCTTTTTTGTAATATTCGCAGAAGACCCCCCACGAATAATATTGTGATCACCATAAAAAATGATAAAATCAGTTGGTTTGGCAACAAACTATGAAACACTGGATCACTAAAGCTCGCCTGTAGTGACGATCATTGTGTCTAATCACCAAATCAATTATACTGTTCGGTGCTCATTCACTCGAGACCACTCACTTTATTTTTCCAGAAGTCTCTTTCGATTTCAGGGATATAATTTCTCATGTAACTGACTGTACAAAACACTTTGGTGAAGCTTATATGAGTAGATGGTTTGTGAAAATCATATTTAATCAACCATATCCATGGGAAAGCCTAATCACGTGTTTTTTTATACATCTATATTTAGCTTTCGTTGTGTATTGTGTTTTCCTTCCGTGATAATTTACGGCAAATTAAGGCCTGTGTGTCACATAATTATATTGTCTGAAAGTCTGAAAAAAAAATAAAAATTATTCCAGAATAATTTACATTGAAATCTGTGTTGAAAAATAAATAATACCCTTTACAATTTCCCAATGTTAATAATGTAACAATATTATAAGTACATATGATGACAAAAATGTAAGATATGATATGATATGATATAATGATCTTAACAAAGGATCCAATGGGAAATGGATGATTCATCCGCGTTTTGAACTAAAAGTAGTTCGGTAACCTTATTTTTATCTGAGTTTTGTGAACAAAGGCAATTTAAACAATAAAATCTGGAATTTAATGGTAGAAGATGAATTTAGAAATTCGAAAAACGGATGTGATATATATATTTCAGCTTTGTCTGATAACATAATACCCATGCTGGTATGAATTTGAAACGTAGTAGGACACAAGAAATATTAAAACTATTATTATTGATCAACCAATACACAAGCAATATTCAATAAGTTTTTTTTTTTTTTGACTTTTGGTTACAATATGGATACAATTACCTAATTTATCGCATTTTCAACCGTTTTGACTTCGAAATTCAGCTTGTATGCACATAATTATGTAGCGCAGTAACCAATATCTTGAAACCCTATTGGAAGACCATACAGTTAGTTTGGATATTAATGTTTAACACTAGAAAAACTGTGCTAGGTCTAACTCGGCGTAAATCTGGTGCGTAAATTACCCAATATGGGGTAGGAATGCGTTATTGCAAAGTAATGTGACACAGAAACACCAGCTTTCCTCTATGTGTTAAAATAAAAGTCTTGAAGAGTCACGTGACGCAAGACAAATATAAAAATTGTCCATATATGATGTATGCGCGACTGATTTAAAAGTGTACGTAATTACGTATATGTGTAATTTTTGTAGGTACAAAAACAATCAGTGTATATATGCATTAATAAATGAATACTCAGAAATGTGCTACAACTGCATTTTATGTCATGATAAATAATAGTCCACTGTATCGGACAACAATACTGAAATTACAAATTCTTCTCCATATTACATCTTTAGCACAGGCCCATACGCCATTTTGTTTATATGTCAAGGTGAGAAAGTGTGATAAAACGTAATAGTTCAAAAATCTCGAAAGTCAGTCACATATTCCCCTTTTTGATGAAAGATTTCAAATCTTGAATTGGGGAATGCATACATACAATGATTTTGTCTACGGCGCAGGTTATGTTTGTTGCGAACGTGTTGTCTAACATTGAAAATAGGTCGGCAACTCTAAAAATATTCAATCACAGAACGTGGGAACCGGAAGTTGAGATTACGCCGTTATGTTGTTATTTTCAAAATTAACTATTTTGTTTTACTAGTGTGAAGACAACTTTGCAACATTTGAAAATATAAAAAAAAAATGTCCAAAAATATATCACGAACCTGGGTCTCATCCTTAACATTTACCGGTATTTGTGTACAAACTACAGGGAGGAATGATTGTGAAATGACAGTATGTTTGCTCACCTAACTTGTTAGCTATATTTCTAATTTTACTTTTTTTTAATTCCCACTTAATGACAGATTAATGACACGTCGGGACATGGCGCGCTTTTTTCAATTGTTATTTGAAATATTGGACATTTTACACACATTAGGAGGAATGCTGTCCAAGCTGGTTGCAGATTACATACTTTCACGATTAGAAAGTTAAAACAAAGACACTAATGTTTTTAATAAGAACATCGATGGTAGTGTCTGGAAGGTGTCTGCATGTTGGGTAGTCACGGTTCGGCAGGCAATTAATTATTCCAGCATTTATATTGTTTTATATATCCACATGGATATGCGTGATTACTTTTTAGTAAAAGAGGGAAATACTTTTAGTGAGATGTCTACATAACATGATTTGTACCCCCTAGTTCTTGCATGGCTGGGCAGTTTCTATTAATCGCCACAATTTAGCAGGATTCACTATCTTTATTCGTTGTATCCGCCGGTCCTGTCATATAAAAGGAAAGATGGCCGCCAGTTTTCAGTATGCAAATGCACCGTCCCTCAACACGGCAAATGGAAAATGACACTCAAAACACGTTATTTTTTCACAATGGAATTATTTTGGCCATGTTTCGGCAATC